TGATAGATAGATAGATAGATGATAGATGCTTAGTAAGTAATTTGCTGGATATATAAACGAACGAGCAAAGGAATGAATTACTTCAAACCAATACACACAGTGGATTCCCACTTGTGGTAAGAAATATTTTCAAGCTATTGCACCACTGAGCTAAGACCTCAAATATGTGGTTCCTTTTATGCAAAGCTACTGGGTATCCCACCAGCCTGGATTTAAAAGCACTGAATGAGCAGATAAATGACGCCACCCCTTTGGAAACTGAACTGACTCAGCAGCCATAGAAGCATCGTAATATTTACTGGCATTTGTGACGTGTCTTGAGTGAATCCCCCCATTTGGCCAGCCAGTGGGGGGGGGGGAGCCGTGGGGAGAGGGAAAGAGAGAGGAAAATTGCCTCTCCATGGGTGGCACCATCAACTGACAATATTTATAGATCTCTTTCTGATTGGGCTGGTAAATGTTTCAGAAACCAGAGAAAATTAGCTAAGGATTATAAGCCTGTTGTGCCAATAAATGGTTCCAGCATTGTCCCCATTCGGCGGGTAGATGCTCACGTAATCCTCTGTTCCCAGTGCTGCATTCACACTTTCAGCTTGATGTGCACGGTTCAGAGTCATTTTATATTAATACTCAAGTAGTCCACTGGATATACGAAGTGTGAGCACAAAATAAAAGCCTAACTAGTTACATAAGCATAGTTTATACTCCCACCCACCCTCATTAAAAGAACCGGTAAAAACAAATGCGCTAAAGCAAGAAGATGAACCCAGGGGACAGACAGGGTGATCACAGAGACAAAGTGTGCTGTTAAACTTAATGATCTGATGAGTGCCAGAAACAAAGCCTGTTGTTCAGAACCAAATTTTAAATAACGATAATAAATAGGAAATCTTTTAAGGAAAGTTAAGTCATGTTAGGTTTTGCAGTGGTCTCGAGGATGAAAAAATGTCGAATAATCTTTCACATTCTTGAGAAACATGGACACTGAAAGATTAAGTCTCTGGGAACCGGCAGAATGACAGCGCACAGCTTGAGCGCCTGGCGTCCTCGCGGCCTCCCCACGGGAGACAGGCTCCCGGCGCCCCTGCCAGCAGATGGGGTCTCGGGCACGGGGAAGGGAGGTGCCTGACCCAAGGCCACGTCGCCAGGAAGGGGGGCCCGGAACTCAGGCCCGGAGTGCTTTCGGAGGCTGTGTGCTTTGACCTCGGTGCCACGTGAAGGGAATCTTGTTAGGCCACCTGGTGGCAAGGGCAGAGGAAGGAAAAGGGAAGCAGAGGCGAAAGAACTGCACATTGAAAATAAAAATAGAAATAAACCCAAACCTATCGCTAATGACAATACACGTAAACGGATTTCAATATTATTTGGGAAAATAAGGCCAAGCTCGCACGGCCTGCTCCCCATTTCCTGGCTGACCCTGTCCGTGACTCCGTGTCGTACCCACTCCCGCCAGGCCGGGCTCCCAGATGCCCTCAAACCCAAGACAGGCGCAGTTCCGTCGGGGCCTTGTTCTGTCCGTCACAGGGTCTGAAACATTGTTTTCCCATCAGTTCTCCCTTCCCTCGGGTCACTTGCACAATGACGTCTTTCCCAACTGCTCTCTTTAGAAAGAACTTAAAACTGAACTCTCAGTGCCCGCTTGGCACTCTGTGCCCCTTTCTCCTGCCTCATAGTTCTCTAGATCCCTCATCCCTTCCAAGGTGCTTTACATCTTGTTTATTTACTGTGCTTCTTTGCTCTCTTCTGACAGAATACATATTTCATAAAGGTGGGATTTTCTGCTTTTTGATCACTAGTAAATGTCGACTGCTTTGAACAGGGGTTGGCACCTGGTAAGAAGTAAATAAATATTAAATGAATGAATGAATGCAATGATAACAGTAGAAATATTAAAATATTTATAACTAAATGATAATGAAAGCATCACATAATAAAATAAGTAGAAAATTTATATGGATAACACTACAAAACATTACTGAAGCCCAAGCCTGTTTGGCTCAGAGGTTAGAGTGTTGGACCGTGGACTGAAGGGTCCCGGGGTTCAATTCCAGCCAAGGGCACGGACCTCAGCTGCAGGCCCGGCCCCGGTAGGGGTGTGTGCTGGAGGCAACCAATCGATGTCTCTGTCTCACATTGACGTTTCTCTCTCTCTCCCTCTCCTTTCTACTCTCTCTACAAAGCAATGGAAAATGGAAAAATATCCTCAGGTAAGGATTAAAAAAAATTATTGAAGTACTTAAAAGTAGAACTGAATAAATGTCATAATAAAACTCAATATAGAAAGATGTCTCTTTTTCTCAGTTGGCCCATAAATTGCAGCTGGAAGTTCATAGAGCCAGATCCTTATAGGACATCTTGCTTAGAGGCTTAAACTTGGCCCTCAGTAAATGTTCATTAAAGCAAGTTGATCTTGGAAAGCTTTCCATAATTGCTGTTCTGGTCCTTAACTTCTCATGGGGGGAAAAAAGGACTCTGTCATCAAGGGACTAAGTCCATTCTCTCTATACTCCCAAAATATCCCTGGGCAGCCTTTGTCTAAGCAAACACTCTTAAAACCAAATGACAGCAAAAAATGCTAATAAGATAGAAACCTGCTGCAAAGTGATTATATGTTACTTGACCTTATCTTGAGGGATTCAGGTCTCATCATAAGCACTTTATTTAAATAATCTCACTGCAATTCATATGACCCCCATGATTACTGTTACCCTTAATCAATAGGTGTCAACATTAATAATTTACCCAAAAAGTAAAGAATTATGACATATTTTAGAGAGAAAACAAGGCATAATTCTTATGTGCCAGTGTTGATGTACATGTGACAGTTGGTGATTCTATGAAACATTTGAACCCAGAAGCAGCAAGAGAGGAAAAAAGACTGAGTGGCTAGTAGAACAGTGAGTTCATGACAGAAACCAGAAACTCTGTCCTCACTGGCATTTTGGAGCAATCTCCTCAGACACTAAGCAATATTCTAGAACGGTGGATGGATATGAAATGTAAAATGCAAAGCAAAGCTCTGTTCTGAAAAACAAAACCCAGAATGAATAAGTCATGGAAATCCTTTACCTCCCTTGACAGCCTGACTCCCAGGTGCTGAAAGATGGCACAGAGAAGAATGACACCTATTGTTCAGGAAGGTTCGTGGGCAGGGTCAACCAGTGCCACTGAGTAGACTGCGCATTTAGCTGAGGAGCAGAAGTTGACGTGTCTCCCCAGAGGAGCAAACCAGAGAAGGGGCCATGGAAGCTAACGTCCAGCTCATGAGAGTCATCCAGGACATGCGGGCAGAGATCGACAAGCTGGAGAAGGAGAACCGAGCCCTGCGGATGAAGCTGCCTTCAAGCAGTCAGCGAACCCAGGGCTCAGGGGGGCCGTCGGGAGATGGAAGTAAAGAGGAAGTCGCAGGCGCTGGTGACCTAGGAAAAGTGCCAGGACAACCTCCGGCAACACTTCACAGTGGTATTTCCACTGACTCAGCACCGGATGTGCGAGAACACCAAGGTAAAGAAAGTCCACAGCTCTTCTGGGCTGTGCTCATCTTTGCAAATATCCCCTAAGCAGTAGGTTTACTGTGCCTCTCACATAACTGCATAATTTGGTGTAACAGTGGTGAGTTGCATCCTTTGTCTACTGGTAGGTGAGCTTTGAATCCCCAAGGAAACATTTCTTTAGCACCTTTAAGCAACATATATTGGCAACGTTAAAACTTTTTCCATATATTCCTGGAAAGATAAGAATGACAGCTTGGTAAAGATCGTTAAAAACAATGTGGTTTTTTACTTCAAGCATTTAAATAAGAGAACACTGACTGGGCATGTGTCAAGGGGCTTCTCACTTACTAAGCTTGAACAATATTGCACAATATTTAAGCGTATGAGTTTCAGTCAGACAAAAAACGGTTACCAATGATTAGTCACTTATTAGCCATTCAACTCATCTTTAATCTTCATGTCCTTCATCTGAAAATGTTAAGTACTAATAAATCAACAACCAACAAGTGTTGGCAAGAATGCGAAGGAAAGGAAACCCTCGTGCACTGTTGGTAGAAATGAAAATTGGTACAGTCACTGTGGAAGACAGTATGAAGCTTCCTCAAAAATATTTTTTAAAACTACTTTATGCCCCAGCAATTCCACTTCTGGGTATGTATCTTTAAAAATATATTAATTCAAAGACATATGTACCCCTATGTTCACTGCAGTGATATTTTCAATAGCCAAGATACTGAAGCAACCCAAGCAAGTGCACATCAATAAATGAGTGGATAAAGTAAGTTGTGATACATATGTACAATGAAATGTTACTCGGCTATAAAAAAGAATAAAATCTTACTACTTGCGACAATATGGATGGAACTAGAGGGTATTACGTTAAGTGAAATAAGCCAGACAGAGAAAAGCAAATACTATATGATTTCACTTGTCTGTGGAATGCAAAGAACAAAATAAATGAACAAACAATACAGAAACAGACTCAAAAATACAGAGAACAGACTGATGGTTGTCACAGTGGAGGGGGTTTGGGGGTTGGGTGAAAACGGCAAAGGGATTAAGAATTTCAAATTGGTAGTTACAAAATAGTCATGGGGAAGTAAAGTACAGCACAGGGAATATAGTCGATAATATTGTAATAACTATGGTTGATGCCAAGTGGGTATTTGAATTATTGGGGAGATTACTTCATAAGTTATATAATTGTCTAATCACTATGCTGTACACCTAGAACTAATACAAAATAATATTAAATGTCAACTGTAATTTAAAAATAAAATTTATAAAGAAAGTGTTATAGTGCCTATCTCACGTGGTTGTAAAGATTAACTGCAATAATAGACCAAGTGCTTAGTATAGCACCTGGCAAACACATAACAAATGGCAGATATTGTTTATCCATATTTTACAAAGAACTTTACTGTCCTATATGAATGTATGTTATACATAATTCAACCTACTACACAAGTTTAAGACATGAAGATGCAGGGTCAATGTCTAATATATTCTAAAAATCTAATCTCTCATCTTTTACTGGAAATAATTTTGACTGAAAAATATACATGAAGTGAGAAATCAGCAGAGCAAGAAAATACATCCTACATTTAAATTGTTGATGGTTTCCTACACACAGAATATTCAAATAAAGTTGATATACATAATTAAATACTCAAAGCTCTCTTAATATCATCTGCCAAGGGCTTCAGGCAATGCCATTCAGAGATTCTGAACAGCTTGGCAATGAGACATGTCACACTTACCAGCTGCTTTCCTTTGTTAGAGAAGTCTCTCTCTAGGATGAGACCCTATGTTTCAAAGCTGGAAATGGATTTCAATCAGGGTCTTTTCCCATTTTGTCAAGTACAACTCTGGGTTTGAGTAGTTTTGTCTGCTGGTTATTTGATAAAATTGAAAGCATAACCTATAAGGAGGCTTGAACTTCTGGCAAAAAAAAAAAAAAAAAAAAAATAGGCATCTGTAATATAGCCTTAATCCAGGGCTTCATAACCTCTGCATTCTTGACATTTGGGACTGAGTAGTTCTGTATTGTAGGGGTCTGTCTTGGATCTTGTAGGATATTTAGTAGCTTTGCTGTCTTCCAAGCATTAGATACCAGTAGTACCTGCCTTCCCTCTCCAGTCATGACCATCAAAAATGCCTTCAGACATTCTAAATGTGACCCAGAGGACACAGTTTCCTCTGGTTGGAAACCACTGCCTTTCTCCAAAGGTAAACAATACTCCTTCAAACCTATTTTGTGTGATGCTTATTTTAATAATAAAGTAAGTTGGGTCTTTGTGTATCTTACGCTGATCAGTCAAGCTGGAGTGTAGGTCCCAAATAAGAATGAACATAACTCGACTATCATCAGCATAATTTCCTCCATTATGTTTTTTTACCACTTGGTATAGAGAAATTGTTTGATAATCCTTTTAAACAGAAACATTTGTATTTGTCAATAGTCATAAGCCTGTTTTTAGATAATGTTAGAAGCTCTAAATCATAGCTAAAGAAAGTGTTTCAAGATAATTGATGAACAGTATTTGTAGTTAATCACTGCGGATAGATTTGAACTTAAACTTTCCCCGGACTCCTGCTTCAATTTTATCTCCTGCTCTTAAAACTGTAAAAAGCCAGGGCAGCTTCCACCTTTTGCAACAGCCATAAGAATTTGCTGTCTGTGTTCTGTAGACACGGGCATCCAACATAAATAAAAAATAATTGTGCTTTGGCACTCTCAAAACCTAAACACAGAGAAGGGCTTTCTTACATTTCCATGCTAGTTAGTGGCAAAGCTCTGATGAGAAATGATAAAGATTCAACAAGCATTTATTAAGTGCTCCAGAAAGTGAAAAACAACCTATGAGGTCAGTGTCGTTAGCTTCAGGGGTTATAACTAGATGTCTAAGCAGAGGCTGGATGACAGGCCCTGGTCAGTTAGCACAGTGTCAGAGCTGAGGTTCAGACAAACCAAGACTCCTTGAAATGAAGCTCTTTCAACCAAGCTGCTTTAGTTACAAGGAACAGTTCTAGAAAACATGATTTACCTCAAGAAAAGAGTTGATTGGAAGACACTTAAGGACAGAAATGGAATTGGAAGGCCTCAGAAACTCAGGCCACAGATCTCTCCATCTCTCTCAGCAAAGCTCCAATTTTTCACAAAAAGCATTTTTGCTTCTTTCCACTTGTCTACTTTGCTTTCATCTCTCATTTAATGGGCTTCCTTATGACTCTCCCAACTAAAGCCAAGACAAGCAATTATAGGCTAATTAGCAGCAGCTAGTTCAATTATTTGTGGCCACTCAGGCAATGAAGGACTGTGGATGAGCAAGGTCTTCTTGAATCAGGACTGAGAAAGCGACCCAGAATTAGCATCTCTATTTATTATCTTTATTAAAGTCTCTGTTCAAATGCTTTGTTCCTGGAAATTTCTTACCTGACCACACTATTTAAAGAGATTTCAGACCCCCTCCCTCTTCTGTCTCTATCCCCTTACCCTCATCAGGCTTATTTGTCCTTCTAGAATCTATTACTATGGTCAACACTCAATTATTTGTAAAATAAATCAGTGAATGGATGTCTTTTATCAAAAAAAATAAAAAATAATAGCTTTGTCTAGTTAGTTTCAATAAAGTACTATCAACATAATTTTCCACTTCTGGATGTCATTAAGTGTCGAATTTTTAAACTTAAATTTTGTGTCTCCTGCACAGGCAATATCATGATTGTTAGACGATATTCCATTTCCTCACCAATCCATTCATTTGCTGCAAATGATCCCCGGAAACCTGGGAAAAAACATCCAAATAGTAGAATTCTAAAAGCTCAGGGAACAGTTAAATCACTGGCATGTTCCTCAATCAAGAAGCAAGACAATGAAGAAAAAGCATTTGCAGAAGATTCTTTTACCAGGAAGGGTTCCAGCCACAGAGCCTTTCCCGAGCAGGATCTTGGTTGCAGGTAAGGTTGAGTCTGGCCTAAGTTAGTAAGCAGGTGCACGCTGTGATGGCTCCATTATGGTGTAATGAAGACATTCTCCTGGTTGAGCAAGGTCATATCTAGGGGAGAAAACAAAACCAAATAGGCTATAAGGCCAAAATAATTTCCATCTTACTTAGGTCCATTTCGGGAATCAAAAGGAACATTTATGTGAGGTCAAATGGAACCCTCTACAAAGGCCTCCTGTAAGAGGAAAACAGTCTTCACTTACTCATCAAACACCATCAGTGAGCATACTCTGAGCTAGGAACCAGCGACACAAGAGTCAGCAAAAATGAAACACTGTGCTTGAAACTTTCATGTAGGGACAAAGATACATAAATGAACTGACCCCAGCAGTAGACTATGTCTCAGGGAAAAGACCCAGTTACTCTAGGAGCTGAACACAGAACTCCTCTCAGAGACACAACTGTTCATTTGGAGGAAGGTGCCCTAATGGGCTTTTTGTGGCATAAAAAGGGACCTTTAGGCACAACGCAAAATGGCAAGAGACAAAGAGAAAACTAACCTGTAGTGCAAAATACACGCATTGGCATTTAGGGAGTTAGAAGCAGCCTGAGAACTGGAGGGACCTGGTAAACACTGGAGAGACAGGTGGAGAGTTAAAGAGGAAAGTTGGCCAGTGGCCCCTGTAGTGGGTAGAGCCAAAGGCTCTTTCGGGACAAGGTTGTCACCATCAAGCATAATTGCTCTGCTCTGCTCGGCTAGAGCATGACCTCCCTCCCCCACGCTCGGCACTCCTACCCTCCAACCCCTACTTAGGCCCCGGCTCTTTAGCAAGAGTCTCTACACATGTGTCTCCTAAGACTGGAAGGAGGAAAATAAAGAAAAATTTGTCAAAAATCCCTGCCTATGGGGGGTGTTTTGCTTGGTAACATGCTAATCAACAAACATGAAAATACATAAAGTACATATTATGTTAGATGGTGATAAGAGAAAAGTAAACAGATTACAAGGAAAAGAGAAGAGCTAAAGGAGCAGGCATTGCTGGAATTTTTATATCATGGCCAGAAAATGCCTCGTCATCTGAGTAGAGAGGGGGTCCTGAGGATTTCAGGCGCGGGGTGCGGGGAGGACATTCTAGGCCTTGAAAAGAGAGAATGCAGGAGCGGGGAGGACATTCTAGGCCTTGAAAACAGAGAATGCAGGAGCGGGGAGGACATTCTAGGCCTTGAAAACAGAGAATGCAGGACGGCCGGGCAGGCTCGGGGCTGCTGCCCCGGGAAGGCCCGAGGCAGGTGTGACCGCAGGGGAGTGAGCGGGAGGAAGCAGAGGCGCGAAGGGAACCGGGGGGGTGGACCCCACCTGCCTCCAGCGACTCTGGGTTCGTTCCAAGTGATTTGGGTGCATAACGTACTCTTCATTTTAAAAAGTCATGCCAGGGCCCTGTTTTTAAAAGATTATAGAAAAACAATACGGAAGACAAGGGAGCCAGGCTTAGGGCTAAAAATGTAATGTGGGCCCAAAGTGATCCTTCTTGGCCGATGGTAGTGACAGTGGACGTGCTTTCTGAATAATCCTGAAGGCGGAGTCAACAAGATTGCTGATGGAGCAGCTGTGGGATGTAGAAATAAGAAATACACACCAGGCTATTGTGTTCCAGTGGCCAGGTGCCTTCAGACAGGGAAGAAAAGCAGAGATGTGCCCTTTGCCTAAAAAATTTATATATACATACATATGTATATTTATATATGGTTATAGTTACATAATGCACAAAATGTTCATTGTGAAACTTGAAAATTACAAAATATAAATGCAATATTCAAAGTAAACAGTATAAAAAGGGAAATCTTTCATAGTCCCACATATGAACAAGCATCATTTCGACTTTAATAGATATCTTTTCAGGCTTGTGTCTACATAGTCTAAAATTGCACACTGCATGTTTTATAATGTTTTATTTTTTGCACTTAAGTCATTACATTCTCACAGCCTATATTGAGAAATATAGTAGTATCAATTTTCTCATCTCTGTATGTATTTTCTTTGATAGTTTGGGAACCTACCCAACGTTTATAATGTATTTATTTTTCTGAAGCAAAACACTTTCGAACTTCCAAGCTGCCAACAAATAAACTATTTGAACACAATCCATTTCTAATTTGGAATCTGCTTTCATTTGGAAGACTGAGCCAATTTTAGGATTGTGTTAAAACAAGAAAGTCAGTAATGAATGAAAATCAACAGCTGGTTTGGCATAAAATCCAGTGGATACAGAGAGAACTATTGAGTAGGAATTAAAGAGGGTTTTTTTTTGTTTTTTTATATTTTGTCTTTTACTTCCTCAAGGATTAACTAGTAAAGTAACATGTCATTACATTACTCCTTTTTTTTTTTTTTTTTTTGGTTTTTTTTTTTTTTTTTTTTTTATT